TTTTTCGAATCTCATTTTTGAATATCTTGATAACGATCATGAATAATCGCACGATTTTAATAGAAGAAACAGAACATGTGGTTTCTGACCATATAGTCTAAGTAAGTCAAAACGGTCAAAATTATCAGATAGAAATAGGTCATTTTGAAGTGACGACATGACACAGCAACTCCGTGTGAGACTGACACGCGCGCGCGCGTGTGTGTGTGTGTGTGTGTGTGTGTGTGTGTGTGAGAGAGAGAGAGAGAGAGAGTGTGTGTGTGTGTGTGTGTGTGTGTGTGTGTATGTGTATGTGTGTGTGTATGTGTGTGTGTGTGTGTGTGTGTGTGTGTGTGTGTGTGTGTGTGTGTGTGTGTGTGTGTGTGTGTGTGTGTGTGTGTGTATGTGTGTATGTGTGTGTCCGTGTTTTACGGAGCAGATCGCTTCAGCTCGTGAGACATGTATAAATTACTAATGTCTTGTCCCGCTGTGCATATATACATGAGTGGACCTAACCTTTGTTGTAACACCCACTCTGCCATTGTTATCGACCAAGTCCGTGCGAGATGAATAAAGATTGTCATTGTCATTGTCGTTGTCATTGTCATTATTGTTGTCATTGTCATTGTTATTGTTATTGTCATTGTCATTGTTATTGTCATTGTCATTGTTACGGTAATTTTTTGTCGTTGTCATTGTTGTTATCATTTTGGGTTATCCAGAAGAACAACTGGACGAGGTACAAGACTTTTTCTGCGGCCCTGTGGCGGACTACCTCAGCCTTCAGGTGGTCGACAAGGACGAGAAAGAGTGTGCCGTGGGGAAGGTGGGAACCGTCATGGTCAAAGGTGAGAGAGAAAAAGACAGCACAAAGGGAGCGGAAAAGAGGGTGCCCACCTTGCGACTCGAAAGAGCTGAGGAATGTAGGAATAACAAGACCTAATAAATTAACTACTAACCAGTTGCTGTAACAATCTCCAGTTAGGGCTATGGCAGCACTCAGAAGTGAAACTTAGCAATAAACGTTATAAGAGTGAAGTAACATATTATTTATTGATGTATTCATTCATTTACGTATATATATATTAAAAAAACGTTCTCACGTGTGTTTACTCTAAGACTTACAGCTAATTTCAAAATCCAAAATGCTGCATACTGTGTTGTTATTACTAAACACAAAAGCGCCAGATGATAGAATTGGGCAGGGTAAAAAAAAAAGACTGCACAAAGTAGTTTCAGAACCTATAATATTATTATGCTGCTCTTGTAGAAAAATAGAACTATTTTATTTTTGTTAGTGTTAGACGGCTTTGTTGGAGCATAAATATGATTTTATAGACGTCGTGTTTTTTGTTATTTGTTAGTTTTTGTTTTTTTGGTAAGTGTTTTTCGGCGCTGGCAACTGCATAAGGTCATATGAGCGCGCGAAACACACCAAACATTTTCAGTTGGTAGGAAATTTTGAATTTTGCCGGGTGGCGGCCGAAGCCTCCTCTTATCGATTTTGGACCACCAAGGGATCTCTAACTTTAACGTGTTTAACTTGCACACGGGACCACCGAGATTTTTCGCCCTTGTCCGAGAAGGCAAGGTGTAGATCTTTCTTACCATAAGACCAGGGGTGCGGCTAAAAGACAGCAGTAAAAAGGAGCCAGGGAGAAGCAGTGGAAGGGCTGCAGAAAGAGCCAGGAGCCCAGAGGAGGGGCAAAGGAGGTGAGGGGGTGGGGGAAGAAAGTGGAGGAGAAAGCAGACGATAGAATATTGTTATAGACCAGGAAAGGATGTGAGAGGAGAAAATTTAAGAGAAGAAAAATTTCCGTCGTTATCCGGATTCGAACCCATGACCTACTGGATGAGGGGCGAATACTTTAACCTCTAGGCCACCAGAGCCCCCGACTTCGTGTTTCAATCCTGTAAAGTCACAGACGCCAAAGAAGAAGACCCCCAAAAAACTAAAAACAAAAACAAAAACAAACAACAAAACAAAAACAACAACAAAAACAAACAAAAAACAAAAACAACAACAACAACAAACAAACAACCCCTCCCTCCTCCCCCCCCCCTCCACTCAGATTTTGGTTTCGAACCTCGATCTTCCGTAATGAAGAGTCAAATGTGTAATGTACAAACTTAACCCATCGTCTTTCTTATCTTCCAAAAGAACAATGTGCCGACAATCTCAGAGTTTGTGTTATCCGGGTAATGATTTGTCAAATAGTAAAGAAAAATGCTTTACTGTAGGTAAGTGTCTTTGTTTATTCTGCTATATTTTTGTACTGTGTCATGATGTGTGCTAATAATATAATATTATCAATAATATGCTATGAGAAAAACGTGCCAATGTGGTTGATAGTATATTATATTTTTCAGGAAAAACCCAAATAGAACCCATCAAAATAATACGCGTTTGGTTTTCAAGGTCTCGAGTGCAATTTAGTCGTGTCTCGAATCGAACCGTATATCGAAACGGTCGTATGTCGAATAAGATCGTATATCGAATCGGATGTGCGTCGAATTATACGTCGAATTGATCGTATATGGAATCGGATCGTGTATCGAATCAAATCTTATATCGACTCGTATGGTACGTCGAATCGGTCGTATATGTGCACTGGCTACTAAGTGTGTCTGTGTTTCATCCGTGTCTCCCAGGCAAGACTCTCTTCTCCGGCTACTTCAACCAGCTGGAGGAGAAAGATCCCGCCACGACAGGCCAGTTCTCAGAGGACGGCTGGTTCGACACCAACGACAACGGTTACTTTGACCACAAGGGAAGCCTGTACGTGATTGATCGGAATAATGACGTCATCAGTTATGGGGCTTGCCTGGTGTACCCAGGTTGGCTGGAGCAGAAGATCCTGGCTCACCCAAAAGTCCGGGATGTGTGCTTGGTACCTGTAAGTGAGTGGATGATTGTGGGTGAAAGTAAAGTAAAGCTCTCTCTCCTCCCCCGACTCATTCCAAACTGCTTGACTGATTTACTTAAAGGGCGAACCCAGGGTCACAGTGGGGTTGTAGCTTTGTCTTTCAGCAACAGGAAACAGCTGTGATCGTCTTGATGTTTTCATGGCATAGGGTGGGGTTAATTTTCTTTAAAATTAGACAAATGGAACATTCTAGTATTTTTTCATAATAGGCCTATGCTTTAAAATGTCTAGACGTGAAACCCGAAAGATGAAACCCCGTTTTTCTTATTACTTTTTTT